TATAAGATCAGTTGCAGCGAATGCAGCCAGACGTACATAGGAGAAACATCCCGAAACACGTACATGAGAGGAAGAGAACATTTGAGGGAGTTGGACAATAGAAGTAAAGGTTCAGTCTTGTGGAGTCATGCAAAAGAGGAACACGAAGGCAAGATTCCTGATTACACGTGTGATGTTACAAATGTTTTCCAGGGGGACGCTCTACTCAGACAAGTGAGTGAAGCCGTACTTATAAACAAAGTGAAGCCTGAAATGAACACGAAGAAAGAGTGGAACTTTGCTAATATCCCGCGTGCTAGAATTAATTAATAAATTAATTAGTTGTTTTGTATGCGCGCTCACCTTTCTCGTTTTGTGTTGGTGCGCGCGCCGTTAGTGCGCGCTACCCATCAATGTTTGTTTACGAATTTTTCTTCAACTGTTGTAAAACATATAGTGAACTGAAGAGGTTTTAATAAACGAAACTAGTTTTCACTATTCTTGGTAGTCCCTGGCCTGTACGTACGAAAATCGTTACGTTGGAGTGATTTACATTTGTAAAGGTTATGGCTTACGTAGGATTGTTTAGAACATTCTTATGTAATGCGCGTGCGTTTGTCTGCAGTGTCATTGTTTACGTAAGATTGTTTAGAACGTTCTTTTGCAATGCGCGTGCGTTTGTCTGCAGTGTCATTGTTTATGTACGTTTGTTTAGAACGTTTTTTTGTAATGCGCGTGCGTTTGTCTGCAGTGTCATTGTTTACGTACGTTTGTTTAGAACGTTTTTTTGTAATGCGCGTGCGTTTGTCTTCAGTGTCATTGTTTACGTAGGGTTGTTTAGAACGTTCTTTTGTAATGCGCATGCGTCTGTCTGCGGTGTCTATTGTTTACGTAGGATTGCTTACAACGTTCTGTTGTAATGCGCGTGCGTTTGTCTGCAGTGTCATTGTTTACGTAGGATTGTTTAGAACGCTGTTTTGCAATGCGCGTGCGACTGTCTGCAGTGTCATTGTTTTACGTACGATTGTTTAAAACGTTCTTTTGTAATGCGCGTGCGTCTGTCTGCAGTGTCATTGTTTACGTACGATTGTTTAGAACGTTTTTTTGTAATGCGCGTGCGTCTGTCTGCAGTGTCATTGTTTACGTAAGATTGTTTATAAATGTTCCATTGTAATGCGCATGCGTCTGTCTGCAGTGTCATTGTTTACGTAGGATTGTTTAGAACGTTCTTTTGTAATGCGCGTGCGTCTGTGTGAAGTATCATTGTTTACATAGGATTGTCTCAACGTTGTATTGTTATGCGCGTGTATCTATTTTCAGTGACTTTGTTTATATTGGATTGTTTCTAATTAATCATAAAGTGAGTGCGACTTTCCGTAGCGCCATTGTTCTGTTGGATTCTTTTAGACGTTCAATTGTAACTCGTATACGTCTCTATGCAGTGACAGTATTTTGTGTATGATTTTTTCGTGTGTTCAATTATACTGAGCGCCTGTTTTGGTACCATTGTTTAATCAGGATCTCCTCGAATGATGCAGATTTAACAAATTTTGCGCGGTTTTTTTGTTTTATTTCCTCTTTTTGACACACTCTTGACGTCATAAAATGTTCAAAACTCAAGTGGACGCAAGAGCCGTATTCAATTTGTGTTGTTTTTACCACATTTTTAGTCTAAATATTAACGAAAATCCTTTTTTTTCCTTTCAAATGAGCGCGCACGAGACGTGATGGTGTCAGCGCGGTGTGCGTGTCCTCTTATTGACACACTCTTATCAGCCAATCAGCGCGCGAGAATTTACACAAGTGTGGTAAGAATGCTATAAATACGAGGAAATTTCTCCTTCCCTGAAGAAGTGTCCTTTATGAGACAAAACGCGTAGGGAAATAAAAAAAAATTGCAACTATTCTAGCTTTCCGTAGTGCTGCTCACTAGTCATAGCCACAAATGTCAACATCACAAATGTCATTTTTGTTTAATGTAATATCGAGATAATATAGAGTATACATATCAATACATTTTGACTTTGAAAACCTCCGATGTCTCGGTAAGTCCAACAMCTAGCTAATTAATTTATCGCAATTAAGGATGATTGTTTCGACGCAATGTTTTTTTTTCTTTCCTTTTTTTTTTTTGTCAAAGGAAGTCTTGAATAGCTAATTATTCATAATATAAATTTGCATTAATATTGCAAGCAAAAATGTTCAGTTTTTTTGTAGATTTTGGCTCTGAACGCATCTCGTATCTCGAACGATTGAAATTGGCGTCGATCCCAGCAATTTTATGTTCTCGCCCATTTTTATTTCCGCTAAAAGAATCATCCAGATTAGTTTTTTTCTTCTTTATTTCTTTTCTTCTTTTTCTTTTCTTTTCTTTTTTTATTTACAAAATGTACTTCTTTCAACGTTGCTTTGACGTTACGTTTCTACTATAAAATAAAAATGTATAAATAAATAAAATAAAAAAGGGGTTCTTTTAGTGATATAAAAGAGTCACAATCAAACGCTGTACCTTGCGAGCCAACATGATGTTCCTTTTAAAATTGACACGAAAATGGCGGATTTGTAGGATTTTTTAAAGTGAGCAAGAATCTTTCAAATTAAACAGAAAAACCTTTAACTAAGTACCTCACAGGTACTATCAATCTATAATCTATTG